AGAAGTCGAGTTTCGCAACGTAAGCTTTAGCTACGACAAGAAGAAGGACATCTTGAAGGGCGTGAAGCTGTCTGCGGCTCCGGGTGCGACTGTGGCATTTGTCGGTGCGACAGGGGCAGGAAAGTCGACCATACTGAAGCTCCTCGACCGTTTCTACGACGTCACTGGTGGCTCCATCCTGATTGACAAACAGGACATTCGGGATGTCACCATGTCCAGGTATGAACCCTTGATGAGCTACTTGATTCCCCTAGGGTGTTTGAGCGTCCAGTATCTGGATCTCTTGAATGGCCTACCACTGACGGTACCGACGACAGTCTACGCCAATGTATCGGCATTGTTCCGCAATCTCCGATTCTGTTTGATGATTCTGTGATGAACAACATTCGGTACGCGCGATTAGGCGCTACAGATGAGGAGGTTTTCGGTGCATGTAAAGCAGCTGCCATCCACGATCAAATCATGGGCTTTACCGAAGGCTACCAATCCCGTGTTGGCGAGCGCGGCGTGTGAGTTTCTCCAACTTGTGCTTAGTTGGCTCACCTGCTAAAATTTGTTCACAGGAAGCTCTCAGGCGGCGAATTACAGCGGATTGCCATTGCGAGAGCTATTCTCAAGAGGCCGGACATTGTTCTCTTAGACGAGGCGACAAGCTCCGTCGACACAGACACTGAGCAGAAAATACAGGACGGCCTGAGTGTGCTGTGCCAAGGCAGAACGACATTTGTTGTAGCGTGAGTGCCGATCGTTCCAGATCGTCTCAATTTGATCAGAAGCTAAGGACTCTATAGCCATCGCCTTTCCACCGTAATGAATGCCGATGTCATCTTTGTTATCGACGGCGGAGAGGTTGTCGAGCAAGGGGGCCATGAGGAACTGATCGCGAAGAACGGCAGATATGCTGAACTTTGGTCGAAGCAGATTTTTGTCAAGGCACAGGACCCCAAGAATGATACCAACAGTGTCGAGAAAGGGAAAGAAACTGAAGGATCAGGACCGCAACCCGGCCAGGGCGCACAAACCGACGGATCTGCCGACGCGCATTCCAGCCGGGCGAGTGCCTCGACTACTGTCCAGAGAAAATCTGCTCTCAAGGACGAAGATGCGCAGGCGGACGGGGAGGCGGTGACCACCCCTAAAGGGCACAAGAAAGAGGTAGATCCGTCAAAAAATCATTCTTGATTTTTTTGACCGAGACTAACCTCGGACTTGCAGGGTTCAAAGTTGAATCCTGGCGCTCCGGAGTTCACGCCTCGTTCGCTCGCGTTGTCGAAAAGAGTTCTGGCGCCTCCGATCCATCGCAGCTGGGCTGAAGACTTTGAGGAAGCTTCTGGTTCTCTCGATCGGCCGCCTCCAACCGACGAGAACGCGTGTTCTTACGAGAATCTCTCGCCGACAAACGCTGAAGTACCGGTAGTCGAGGAGCCTGCTGAGTCTACAGGCTCGGTCATCCGGACCACCGCCGCAGAAGAGGAATTGCACCAAGCCAAGCCTCGCCGAAACACCATGCAGTCCATTTCTTGCCCCGAACCGCCTCAGGATCCCTTTCAGTACAGCCCTACGCGCTCGTTCAGCCAACCCGTGCCGACGCCGACACCAGGCCCGCCCACGACCCCGCCGGCGAGGCCTACTCCTCCCGCCCCCGCAGGCCACACCACGCCAACGCCCATGCCGAAGCCGAACGGGAACGAGAGAGCAGCGTCTCAGGCCATGCCCGCACAAGGGCCTCCCCGAGGAAGAGGCGCCGTCCGTGGCCCCAAAGGCAACCGTGGCCGCTACCGTGGACGAGGTCGTCGGTACCCGTCCAATGCCAGGCCCGGACGGAACACCACGCAGCCAACGAACCAGGGCGCCTCCGTACCACGTTGATTATACATTCATTGCATTTCGCGGAGGCCACCGCAAGCATATTCCTTGACTCATTTTAACCGCGGTATTATATGGTGCCGTTCTGTTCTTCTATTCGTCTGCTGAGGCGTTTAATTTCGATTCTCATGGGCATAGCTAGGTATGCAGGCTGGGTGTGCGACATGGCGTTCTCAGTTAAAGAGGCATTAGCAAAAAACGGCGGGCTGCTTTGACATGTTATGGACCTTGTTTCTTATCATACAACTGCCTCTTCGGAGCTAGATGGAAGTGGGAACCGGGACTATGCATCTTGAATCTTCTTATGCGTCCAGAGGAGGACCTGGTTTTGGGGACGAGGAACACCAATTCAGTACTGACCCCATGGTATAGAGGCGATAAGCGTCGTGTAAGACGTCGGAGCATGGCATTCGTTCAAATCAAGACGGGTTTCTTGGAGCACCGCAGGCATAAAGGGAAAACATGAGGATTACGACGCTCACGAAGTAAGGTAGTCCAACGAAGATATCGAGTCATCATCGCTTTGTCTCATTACGCCCTGCCCTTCGTGACTCGTAAAACAACCTAATCTAAGTAGCTGGCTTGGGGGTGGGGGGCAGATCCGGGCCACTTTCGTGCTCATTAGCAGACGAGGATCGTGGAGATGATAGCATAGCATGCTCAGCAGAGGGGAAAGAAGCCGCGACAAAGCAGGCCACATGAACCACCAACAGTCAGCGCGGCCAACATCTGCTCGTATCACCCACTATAGAGGACTCGCGCCGGGTTGCTATATATATATATACTGTGGACAATACTGGTCTATCTCCCCGCGGAATCTGTGACCCAAGACAACACGCCGAGGAAAGGAGCCGGGGGCGCCACAGTCGCCGATCGATCGATCACCTTCCGGGGCCACGGGCGTCTGAGCCGGGGCCAGCGCCGGCGCCGGCGCCGCCAGGACCACCTGCACCTGCACCGCCCATGCCGCCCATCATGCTCCGGGCCATCTCGGCGATGTTGGGGTCGCTCATGAGGGAGGCCATGTCGGGCATGCCGCCGCCCTGGGTGAAGCGGTCGGCCATCTCGCGCACGCGCGGGTTGCCGGCCAGGTTGGACATGAGGTCCGGGTTGCTCATCAGGTTCTGCGCCATGCCGGCGAACATGGGGTTGTTCATGATGGAGGACAAGTCGGGCATTCCACCACCACCACCACCACCACCACCACCTCCTCCTCCAAGCATGCTGGCCAGACTGCTCAGGTCAGGCATGCCACCACCACCACCGGCACCGCGGGGGGGGCCGGCGGCGGCGTCGGCGGGGCCGGGGCTGGGAATGTTGTCGGTGGCGGCCTCGGCCTCGAGCTCGGCGACGCGGCGGGAGGCGGTGTCGAAGCCCTTGCGCATGGCGTCGGAGCCGCCGTTGCCCTCGTGCTCGATGCCGCGGCGGTAGGCCTCGGCGGCGCCGCGGGCGTCGCCGAGGGCGAAGCGGGCGAGGCCGAGCCGCGACCAGGCCTTGGTGTAGGCCGGGTCGGCGGCGACGGCGGCCTCGGCGTCGGCGCGCGCCGACGCGTGGTCCCGCGCCGCGCTGTGCGCCGCCGCCCGGTTCGACAGGTAGATGGCGTGGCCCGGGACGAGGGCCAGCGCCGACGTGTAGTCGGCCACCGCGGAGCTGTAGTCCCGCGACGCCATCGCCCGGTTGCCCTGCACCTTGAGCTCCTCGGCGCGCGCGGCGTCCTCGGCCGAGGGGGTCTTCGATGATGGTTGTTGTTGTTGTTGTTGGGCGGTGCCGGCGGCGGGGGTGGCACCAGCAGCAGAGGAGGAAGATGAGGAGTTGTTGGTGGTCTTGAGCCGCTCGTAGACGCCGTAGATCTGCTGGAGGCTCTGCGACCCGACGGCGTCGGCCACGGCGGCGCGGTCGGACGGGTCCACCTTGAAGCAGTCGCCGATGCAGCTCACGGCCACGTCGATGCTGTCCTTGTCGTCGGCCGACAGCGTGCCGTCGCTCAGCGAGTTGGTGAGGAAGTCGCAGATGGCCAGCGCGAGGCGCTGCTTCGAGGTCGTCGCCTGGTACGAAGAAGCCGAGACCGGCGGTCAGAACACAGACCAGGATCAGAAGGGGAGAGCGAGGAGGGACGTCCACTTACCATGGCTTCCTTTGCTTCCTGGATGCGGGTGGGTGGTGGTATTAGGTAACGGACGAGAGTGGCCCAGCTGTGGTTCTGGATGGAGAGGGCAGAAGACGTTGGGTCGTCGAGAGCAATATATTATATCGGTCTAGATAGGCGGTCGAAGAGGGAGCGTGCTGTAGAGGTCGCCGAGGTCTAGGAGAGAACACCTAAGCTTAGGACGGGGAGGAAGCTGGTCGTGATGCTGGTGTGTTGTGGTCCTCGAATTTTGGGCCTGGCCAGACGGGTCAGCCAAGTGGGAACGTGGGGTTGGGCGGGCAGAGTGGAGCTAATAAAGCCTCAATAAGGTGTCATATCGACCACATGTGGCTTTCCATGTGCGTGGCTTATTACTTTTCGATGAAGGCAACCGAATACAGCCACATTCGACTTCACTATCTACTCTCTACTGAACCATAGTGTGTTCTTCCGTTTAATACCCCCCTAGGTAATAAGCCAGAGTGACGGAAGGTATGACCAGCAGAAGCATCTGGCGGCCCTTCTTGATCGGAACCTTGCGACTACAAGTAATGATGACCAAATGACATCGGTATGTCGCTTGTGATCCCGGGTTGCCTACAGAGCAGGAGGCTGAGACTCCTGGCAGATAAGTTCAGGGGGAAAAGCTTTCGCCTACAACAGGGCCAACCTGTCGCGTTGTCCTTCGAGGTGTTCCAATATTTGCTAGGGTGGAAACATAAGAGGACTTGAGTCGAAGATTATCCTCTTCTTAACAGGCCTTTGCTTATGGCCGTAGTTACTTTGTACCAAGATACCAGAGATAGCGCAATCCACTCAAGCTTAGTTGTGGAACCCCAAGTCAGGTTATCGGACCCTGTCGCCATGGAAGCTTTGCTGAGTTTGTCCCACATTTGTTTCGCGATTTGATGATGGAAATCGCAAGCAAGTCACTTCAACAACCAAGTGTCAGTGGTCTAGTAGCGGCTTAAGACGCATGAGTCATCATCAATCAGATCACAATCTAATGTCTCGATTAGTCTAGGGGTTATGATTCCTGCTTGTCACGCAGGCGGCCGGGGTTCGAATCCCCGATCGAGAGACTTCTTTTTCCTTCTTTTTACCTATTTTTGCGCGAGCCGTTCCATTACCGGTAATCTTTTTTAAATCCCCCGGGCGTTATCGTTTCGTGCCCAAACCAAAGACTTTCAAATCAGCATTCAGGCGCAAATATGGTGAGTGCTATTCACATTTATGGCGCTGGCCTTCGAGATTTAGCTACCACCGGTCTAGGTAGGTAGTTTTGATGTTATTGACATCAAGGACTGAGCTCGAAGTCCTCGATGAAGTTGGAATGGATTTGCTGACATACGGAGTACCTGTACTGTAGGTTTAGTGTCATGTTTACCTAAGCGATTTAAGCTTTCGGGGCATTCCGAGGTTGCGTCCATTGCGTGTACTTTGTACCTGTGAACTTTTTTCCCCGAGTTCTGAACCGATTTGCGACCAGCAACCATAACAATAGCAACGATAGTACAGCCTGTGGCGGCCGCGACAGCCTGACAGGGACGGCAACAGCAGCGACAGCAGCAATAGCTGCGGCAGCGTACCACTACAGGCTCCGCGCAACGCCATGCCCGAGACCTCACTAATCGATTTCAATGCCCTGCTTGAGAATCCTGTCTTTGCCGGAGGCTTCGGCCTCGCGTCGCTGGGTGCGGCGTTGGCATTCGGTCGCCGGAGCGCCATTGCCGCGGTCGGTCTGATCCGCCGGCGCATGCTCGTCAGCGTCGAGATCAGCAGACAAGACGCCGCGTACCCCTGGGTTCTCGCCTGGCTCTCCCAGCCGCGCCCGCAGGCGTCCTTCCTCGAGAGAGGCCTCACGCGGATCAATAAGCTATCCGTCGCGACCACCACGAGTGTCACCCCCAATGGCCCAACGAGGGCGAGCTTCTTCCTCCAGCCCGGCTACGGTCGTCACATCCTCAAGTACAGGAATACGTACATCGCTGTCAGCAGGGACAAGCAGTCGACCGCGAAGACGAACACAGGCGAGCCGCACGAAACCCTGGAGCTTACCACGCTCTACGCCCACCGCCACATCTTCGAACACGTCTTCACCGAAGCGCGGGGCCTCGCGCTCAGCGCAAACGAGGGAAAGACCGTGGTGTACTCGGTGAGGAACTTCGATTGGGTGCCACTGGGCGAACCCCGGAAAAAGCGGCCGCTGGGCAGCGTTATTCTGGATGAAGGGGTGAAAGAGGACATAGTGAATGATGCCAAGGACTTCCTCCAGCAGCGCCAGTGGTACGCTGACCGAGGGATACCGTATCGCCGGGGATATCTGCTCTATGGGCCACCGGGAAGTGGCAAGAGCTCCTTCATCCAGGCCCTTGCGGGCGAGTTGGATTTCAGCGTTGCCATGATCAATCTGAGCGAGATGGGCGTGACCGACGATAAGCTTGCCTTCGTCCTCACGAAATTGCCAGAGCGCACGATCGTCTTGCTGGAAGATTGCGACTGCGCTTTCCAGAACCGCAGGGCTCGCGACGCCGACGGGTACAGCGGTAGCACGGTGACCTTTAGCGGTCTGCTCAATGCTTTAGATGGCCTGTCGGCCATGGAAGAGAGGATTGCGTTCCTGACGACGAACCACGTCGAGCTGCTGGATCCTGCTCTGATACGGCCAGGGCGTGTTGACATGATGGTGCGCATCGGTGACGCCACGAGATACCAAGCTGGCCAGATGTGGGATAGGTTCTACGGAGACGTTGACCCGGACGGTCGCTGCCGCGAACGTTTCCTGGCTCGGCTGGACGAGCTACAGCTTTTCCGCGAGGCGAAGGAGGGCGAAACTCCCTACCCGCCTCGTACAAGCACTGCTGCCATTCAAGGTCTTTTCGTCTTCAACAAGCACGACATGGAGGGAGCCATCAGAATGGCCGAGGGGCTGATTCCCCCAAAGCTCCAAGCAGAGAAATAACCGGCGCGCGTTTATGACCTGTACCATATTGTATTCCAATCAGATACCCGCCTATACCGTTGCAATGGCTTGCTACCAACATTACGGCCCCCGTTGTCTCCGCTACTATTGCCTCTGCTGCTGTCATTACCATCGCTTTCGCTAGTTGTACAGCGACATCTGGCCCGCGTTACTGGTCCTAGAGCATGGACTTGTAGCACACGAGCTCGACCATCAGCCCTGGAGATGGTGAAATCCATGTGACATACGAATCAGCACAGCCTTGATTACTAATATCTAGTAGGTTGCCACCTAATCAGCGTTACGACCTTCGAAGTTTCCATCACCACGCTTTTACTCTGAGGTTGACAGTTGACTTGAACTTCTCAGGAGGCCCACATAAGAAGCGCATAACTCGTATGCAACCGTGTCTTATCATACCAGTCTTCTCCCATTCTCCAAATGCCCACGCCGCGAACCCGGACGTCTGGCCAGGACACATTCACGCGCCCACCTCCGACCGCGGTGGTCTACGACCTCTCGGAGCCGGGGCAGGCGACGATTCGCGTGCCGCCGGGCTCGGCGTGGACGTCGGGCCCGCACTGGCACGCCACGCACACCGAGTTCCTGCAGGTGGTCGCCGGCCGCGCCGAGGTCACGCTCGCGGGTGACGTATTGCCGGCCGTCAGGCCCGCCAACGGCATCGTGGTCGTGCCGCGCGGCGTTGTGCACGAGTGGCGCCGGAGTACCGGTGGTGATGATCAAGCCCATGACCAGCAGCGAGAGGAGGAGCAGCAGCAGCAGCAGCAGCAGGAGAATGAGGAGGAGGACCTCGTCGTCCGCGAGTGGACCGACCCGCGCGACGGCCAGAAGGCCGCCTTCTTCCGCAACCTCAACGGCCTCGTGCTCGACGCGCTGGCCGCGGGGCCCGGCAGCTGGCGCACGCGCACGCTCGGGCTCGAGCTGGCGAACCTGTCCTGGCGCATGGACAACTGGCCCGTCGTGCTGGGCGGGGGCGCGGGCCGCTGGCCCGGCTGGGCCCACGGCGTCGCGACGCGCGCGGTGCTTCTCGCCTCGGTCGCGCTGGGCCGGCTGCTGGGGTGCCGGGGCGTCTACGAGGAGTACTCGTGCGAAGGCGGCGGCCCTGCCGTCCATCACGCACCACCAGCCCGACTGAGTCACTACCGAGAAACCTGGGCGACAGACACTACGGCTACAGAGGTTCTTCGCTCAGGCCTAACAGACTTGGCAAGAAAGACTCGTCTACCGAGGGCGTCACATGCGTCAATGAAAGAGTTCTTGGGTTGTATCCCCTGACCGATCGAATACTGTCGTAAACTAGAATGCTAAGCCATTGTCTCATGCGGATATGTCCAGGCCGTTGCTCAGTGTCTAAGTCCAGGCATCTTTTACTCAAACTGCCCCTCCTTATAAAAGGTGTTGCGCAGGGGCAGGTCTGCGTCGAAGCCCTTCGTGTCGGCCATGTGGCGATCGAAGCTGACTGTCGACATCTGCACCTTTTCGAACAGGCGGCGGTCCAGGACCGGCCCCGCGGGGCCGATCTGGCCCTGGCTGCTCGCCACGCTCTTCTCGGCCTCGTAGCCGTGGTGGGCCAGGCTCGACGCGATCTGGAAGGCGTTGCGGATCTGCCGGCCGTTCCAGCAGCCGGTGGAGCGGGCGTTGTCGTCGTAGTGGCGGGCGGCGAAGTCGAGGATCTCGGCCTCGCGGACGGCGAGCGGCGGCCGGCCCGTCATGCGGCTGCGCTGGGCCTCGATCTCGCGCAGCTTGGCCAGGTTGAGGCGGAAGATGTCGCGCGTCTGGGCCTTGTCGAGCGGGGGGTAGTAGAGGGACATGTGGATGCGCGACTTGAAGGCCTCGTCGATGGTGCCGACGCGGTTCGTCGTCAGGAAGAGCAGACCGCTGTAGTACTCGAGCACGCGCAGGAAGACGGAGACGAGCGCGTTGCGCTTCATGTCCGTGCGCGACCGCTGCGCCAGGAAGACGTCGGCCTCGTCGAGCAGCAGCACGCAGTCCCACAGGTGCGCCAGCCGGAACACGTTGGACAGGCTCGCCTCGACCTCGCTCGGCGTCAGACCCAGGTCCCCGCACGTGATGACGAAGAGCGGCTTGCAGTACTCCATCGCCACGGCCTCGGCCGTCGCCGTCTTGCCCACGCCCGGCACGCCGTGGAGCAGCACTGGAAGCGCGCGCGCGGGGAGTCAGCAGTCGCGTTCTGCAACCGAGTTCGGTGACGGTCCGTTGCCGGCCCAGCTCGCATCAGGGGGGGGCACTAGCCCCGATTGATCGAGACAAGGCACCGCATCAAACACACGACAAGGGCCGTGGACGGTTCGAAGGAGGAGCAGGAGGAGCGGAGAGGAGGAAGAGGGAATGACTCACCGACCAGGCCGCGGCCCTTGTTCTGGATCAGGTCCTGGCTGGGGCCCTCGGTCGACATGTCGACGTAGCGGCGCTCGAGCTCCTTGCGCTCAAAGTGCGAGACCACGAGGCCGCGCACGATGTCCTTGTAGTCCTTGAGGATCTTGAGGTTCGCGAAGACGCCTGGCTGGCGGTGCACGGGCTTGAGGAAGCTCGTGTTGACGGGCAGGAAGCGGCGCTCGCGCAGGGCGTAGGCGAACATGCGCTTGGGCAGCAGCACCAGGTCCTCGTCGCGCAGGCCGTCGCCACCGCCACCGCCACCGCCGAGCGAGTCCTCCCCCGCCGCCGCCGCCGCCGCCGGCGCGACGCGGCGGCCCTTGCAGCGCTGCCGCAGGAAGGCGTCGGCGGCGAGCCCCTCGCGGCGCTGCCACATCTCGACGCCGTCGAGCAGCTGGACGAGCTCGCGCTGGGCGAAGAGGCGCGTGTGGCGCGCGCCGCCGCCGAGCCACTGCTGGATCTCCATGTCGTCCTCCTCGGCCAGCGTCTCGACGCCGCCGCTGGCCGTCAGCCGGTGGAAGACGGGCCGCCAGTCCGGGTTCTTCTGGTAGGCCTCGGCCAGGTCGACGATGACGTCCGACTCGACGAACTCGGGGTGGCGCATCTTGGCGCCCTGCTCGTCGACGAGGACCTCGTCGTCGGCCTCCCCGTCCGTGTCGAAGGGCGGGTTGCGTGTCAGCGTCCACGCGTTGTACGTCTGGTGG